AAAAATACAATACAGTGCTTTTGGATAGCAATGTAAGACTATTTTCCTTTTGTGTAATTGTTTGTGTGTCCTTAGTTTTTAAAGGGGGAGATAAATATCTAAGAAGCATCGCTTGTAAACTTGATGTAATCCATCCTGCACATATGGACCAAACTAATCTTAGGAAGCACAGCTTTCATCATGTCACTCCCCTTCTGAAAAACCTCCCTAACTTCACTGTGAGCAAATAACATCTCAATTTCTTTGCTTAACCTTGAAGACTTTCCAAAGCATGGCCTTAATCAAGTTTCCCCCACTACTCTGAAACTGTAACTCTCAGCTCTTCCATGGCTGGCCTATTGCTCTTCTCTAGGTATGCCTGATTCCTTTCTACTTCCCTATCTGTGTTCACTCTGCGATCTCTACTAGGAATGCCTCAATCCATCTGAATCCAATTCACCTTTCCAGGTACCGTTCAACTCAAATCCCACCACTTTTCTGAAATCCCACTCTGAGCCACATTTATATTTTACTTGTAGTAAGTTATAGTAATTTCTCTCCAACAGATTCCATGTAGGCCATAAATTAGATTTTGAAGATTTTATTAATTAAATTTTTAAAAAAATTTGAAGAGCATCTGTTATACGGGGCACAAGGACATAAAGTTGAATAAGACGCTTTCCCTACCCTGGAAGTTCTCACAGAAATAGCTGACAACTGGCACTATACCCCCTTGCCCTCACACATCTACCCCTCTTGGTTGCTTGCAAAAAACTTACCTCATTGTCAGCATCACATATGCAGACACACACACACCCAAACACTCACCCACACACATACACACACATTCCCCAGCCCCAAGCCTCTAGGATCATGAAACTCAAGGGCTTTCAAAGGCTGTTTATTCCCAAGAAAGGATTAGAAACTCTCTATCTTACAGTTCTCTATATTGCCTGCTACCTAATGCTCCACTTAATTTTATGCAGTCTTCTATCATTTTCTAACTTTCCATGAGTATGCATCTAATCTAGTCAATCAAATTATTACTTATAGAGTAACTTATTAAATTATTTATGGTATGTAAAACAATACTATTCACATATGGTCAATACATCTTTTTCATTGATTGATATAATTCTTGATGTTTAAATGTAAGGTGAATTATTACTTAGAACATGTATTACATATGTCTGAGTCATTTACTTTCCAGAATCTCTCATACTCATTGGTTTCATTCTCAATACCCTCTGCATATTCCCTATGCATTAAAAAAATTAGATAGATGATAGACAGACAGATAGATAGATAGATAGATAGATGATATCCCTTTTGAGTAATAACTGGTTAGCATAGAGCCATGAACATAAAAAATAATGGAACATAATTTTATTTGGAGCACAAGACTCTAATTTAAACATAATATATAGACCTTAACAAGTCATTAACTTCTGTCAGAGTCTATGCAAAGGGATTTTTAATAATAACACCTCTCATAATGTTTCCAAGTGCGATCTGCAACCATCTCCATCAGAAGCGCTTGGGGCCATCATTAAATAGGCATATTTGTGGGCTCTACCCACAAATCAGTATCTCTGAGGGTGGAGCTGAGGAATCTACAGATATACCAAGCAATTGCTGACTCTTATGGGTACTACATTACATTATACATGTTTATACTTTTACATTCTATAAAAGACATTTATTTTCTCTTTACAATATCTGGAAGAGGAGCTGTGTGAACATCACTTCCAGATGCACTTCATCGAAAGAGAGAAGCTATACGATATGTTCCAGATCACATAGCACAGTGCCAAGTATTCATTTATTCATTCATTCAGCATTTATTTATTGAGTGCTTAGAAAGTGCCAGGCTCTGTTCTAGGCAATGAGATACCGCAGTGAGCAAGCAAAGACCATGGTCTTATGAGGCTTATGCCCTCCTGGTGCCCCTTTTAGGCAGCCAGGTAAACATTACACAGGAGTGAATGAGATACAGCCAGGCCTCCAGACTCTTAGTTGACTGCTTTCTCACTCCACCAAATGGTCTATTCACTACAGTGCAACATATCATATCAATAGTAAGCATAAGCAAGATGCAAATACAATAAAAATCAGGCTTCATTCTTCAGGCAGCATGGAGAGTGGCTATAGTACAGAAGGTACTATATATAGCTAGAAGATGTAAAGCAGACTGGGTTCGATGTATGGCTTTAGCATTTTACATACCTGGGCACCCTGTACAAGTTACCTAAGCCCTTAAGCTTCAGTTACAGAATTTATCAATACCTACACCTGGAAGGATCAATGTAAGAATGAAAACATAAAAGCATATGGAAAACATCAAGCATGGGTCTAGCACAGTGTAGGTACTCAACGTCAGTTCTCTTTTCTCCGTTATCAAATCTGAATTTTATCCAACAATACCACAGCATTACCTAAAAGGCTAGATTTTAGATTTAGTTGGAGGTAACTGTAACTAGTTTGCTTAAATCTCATCATAAAGACTACTTTCATAGATTTTATCCTATATTACACACTTAGCTGATGCCCCTTTGGGATAAAAATAATATTATGAGTCCACTATAGAAAAACCATGCATTTTGAGTTTTCTCATCATAATAATAGTCTATACTTTGGGAACATCACTCATTTTCCAGGCAGAAATATATTAGATCATCACTAAAAATATGTATATATGATAATGTATCTTTCCGTCTCTTCAAACTCTTAACTAATATAGTAGGTCCATAAACAATAAGTTCCCTGCATCTCCAACCTCACTCTTCCCCTTCTTTGCTAGCTCACAATAATCCAATGAGACTAGCTCCTCAAACCCACCAGACTCTCCAGCATTTAGATGTCATGCATGGTGTTGCCCTAGAGTCACCAGGTTAGTGCTTAATTGCATCCCACCTTAAATATCTGGCCCTCAGAGAAGCCTTTCCTGACCAACCATCCTGACAACATTAGGCTGCACTGAATAGGGTGAGGAAGCCTGGGTTCCAATCAGTCATCTGACAACATGGAGTTATGCTACAGCACAAATACACAGCTGGGCAGGTAGATAAAACTTCATACGCAACATGATATAACTGGCAACAGTGCATCTGCATTAGCTGGTTAAAAATATCAGCCAGGGCTCTCAGAAGTGATCCCTCCTGTGGAACTTCTGCTGAGAGGCTTGGTGAACTGTCATATACTGCTGGTATCAGGGGGAAACAACTCCTTAAAGGGGGATTCCCAGCATGGGCTGATTCTCTTCAGGCTGCTTTTATCCTTTGCTGTCAAACCACATTTTGCAGAATCTCTGGAAGTATTAAAATGGCCCGAGGCACACTGTTATATACGTCAGTAGCATCCTGTACTCTTCTTTAGAGCTCTTTTTACTTGTTTAATATTTCTTTTCTGTTAATGTTTGTCTTCTCCATTTAAGGACCGTGCCTACCTGTTGCCTGTTTAATTCCCAGTAACTGCCATAGTAGCCAGCATACAGAGGATTCCCTCTGTATATGTACAATAACCATTCATTGGGTGGATGAATTGAGAAGTGAGAGATGTGTCCGTGTGAAAGAAGCCGAGTTTATATTTAATGTAATACACATGAAGTACCTAAAATAATGCTTGGCATATAGTAAGCATGCAATTAGTGTTGTTGTTATTTGTTAACCAGAACAAAAATCTCCTGAGGATAATACAAGAGGTGAGTTACTGACTGATAAATAATATGGTTGAGCACACGCTGTGTGGTTATCCCTGTCAGAATATAGCGCAGTGTACTAAAGGAGTAAGCTTTCACCTCATCTACCTCAGGTGTTTTTGAGTTAATTCATTTTAATATTTGAATATACAAATTTAAAAGTCCCATATCTTTTCACATATTCACAATTGAGTATAATGCTATTAAATAAAACCACCCACTCACAAAAATAATGTCTTGACCATATAAGTATCTCTATGGGAAAGAGCAAAGAGATATATATCCATGCTTCATTCTCTCAATGGATAGAAAGAAAATTGGTGCCCTTGAATATTGTAAGGAAAAGCCACACACATTTTTTCTAAGACTTGTGAAAATGAAACAAAGAAAGTACAAAAGACCATATATTTTAAGTCACTGAAATCCCAACACCTACTCTAAAATAATAAAAAGAAGTAAAATCTGTAAAAAAAAAAAAAAAAAAGACTTTAGGTCATTCTGCCTCATTTTATCCCAACACTGCAGCAATATTTCCTGAAGAATTAACTGAAGAAAGTGGTTCAGGGAAGGAATACCTACTGGAAAAAGTTTTTTAAGGCTATCAGTCTAATTTGTTTTGGAAGTGGATTTTTTTAGTATTTTTATTTACTAAGCTTTCACACTTTCTTTTTACTTTATTTAACGGCATGTTTAGTTTTCCCCAAGAGTCCATTTTCTAAGAGTCTTTGATCTAACCATCCACATTTTGTTCGTCTATATACTTTTTGGGAACTTCCTATCACCAATGGAGAAGGAATGTGGTTATAAAATCAAACAATTCTTTCACTGTCAGAATCTAATGCATTAACAATCAGACACAACTATGTCCGAGAATTAAGTAACAAATTTTAAAATAAACAACCACTTATAACACTCCAGAGGGAAAAAGAAACCCTCCACTATGTATATACATCAAATGAAAGTACTCTGGTAGAAATGGACATCCACGGACTAGTCTAGTCAGCCATTCTACTTCACACGAGGAATATTCCTAAGTCACACAAAGGTGCCTTTACTAAGCTTGAATGATATAATACATATGGAAAATGTGTTCTCCACTTGATCTATTGCTTCTTGCTAAAAAGGTTGTTCTTTTCCATGGGGCCATAATGACATTAAGCCTCAAGTACATTCATAATAAACATTTCCATTTTTAACATCATTCACTTTCCGTGGTTTTTTCCTAAAATTAACTCATGTTTAAGCCTATGGGGTTAGTAAAGATGAAAATCTCTTTGGAATAAATAGGGGGAAAAATATGAATATTCTAAAGAAGGATACCTACTTCAGGCCCTGTGATGTGCATCAGACCAGAAACAGCAGAGGCAACAGCATCGTACCCAGCTCGCTGAGACAGTGGACCTGTCTGACCATACCCTAAGACAACAAGAATAGACATATTCAGCACCACCCAGGGAGAGCAACAGTACAATAGTGTGTTAAAAACCATCTGTATCCAGAAATCCTACAGCATTTTGTTACTATTAGGTCTATACTATCCCTTGAAGGAGGCTGTAAAATTTAATTATGGTGTTATACCCCAGAAGGTTGCAAACTGGTGACTCGTGGGCCAGATCCCCATTGTACACATGTTTTGTCTGGCCTGAAGAGTGTTTTGAAATGTTTTACTTAGTTTCCAACATTTAAAGATCAGGAGATAGCACATAATATACAAATTTCTGGCTTTTCTTGAAAAACCAGAAAATACATTCAAAACTCGGCTCACATCCTCACATGGCAATAATCAATTAGAGTTGAGTAATAGTTCTTCCCTTTACACAGGGCATAAATTCTCCAATTTGCCACACTCTACACCCCTCCTTAATCCTTTATGCTTCAGTCTGATTCAATCATTAACTGACCTTCCAGACTCCAATAGGTACTTGCTACTCCTGCTGTATACAAAACAATATACAAAGTAAAACAAAACAATGTCTCCCTAGGTTCTATTTACATATTTTTTCAAGTATGCAAACAAAATATAAATGATAATTTAAAATTTGAACATAAATAGAATTAATACGTCTCCTGCCAGTGCTTTTTAGGATTACAAAGAGAAGGTGAAGGTGTCACTTTTTGTTGCCATCAGCAAAAATTAAAAGAACATAAAGGGACTTCCCTGGTGGTCCAGTGGTTAAGACTCCATATTCCCAATGCAGGGGGCCCAGGTTCAATCCCTGGTCAAGGAACTAGATCCCGCATGCCGCAACAAAGTCCCAGCACAGCCAAATAAATAAATAAATATTTTTAAAATAAAAGAAAAGAAAAGAACATAAAAATATTTTATCCTGCTCTCCTCAGTCCTGGTGCTTACTGTTGGATAATAAAGGTTATATGAGGAGCTACATAACTGTGTCTCCAAATCCCATATATTTTGCTTGCTTCTCCAGCAACCTGGAACACTCTCTCTCTATTTCACTCCATATATGTACATACCTCACATCCTCCAACTCTGCACTGAAATGTCTCCTTATTAGAGAGGTCTTCCCTGAAGAACTTTTATGAAACATCACTCTCACTTTTCACTCTTAAGCCCCCTTACCTCATTATATTTGACTTCACACCTCTTATCACCACAAGATATATAATATAGTTTATTTATTTTCTGTATCCTCCCTACTCAAAGGTATGCTCTAGAGAGTTTTTTTCTATTTAATTTACTGCTGTATTGCCAGCATCTAGAATAGAATTCAGTAACGGTTACCAAATGAATAAATGAATGAATACTGGTTATATAAAAACAATTATCTTTAAAAAACAAATTAATTAATAAAGAAACTAAAGAGGCTTTTATTCTGTTTTGTTTTCTTTTTGAACAAAATGATGATATAGGAGGCCAATTTCCTCCTCCCATGACACAGTGCTTGTACAGCTACACACAAAGCACTTCTCTCTGAGAGAAATCTGGGAACTGAGAAACTAGAGAAATCCAGATGAATGACTCCTATACATTGGGCAACAGAGACAATACCCATATCGAAACTGGTAGGAAAGGCTGAGCCACTCTCATCATAAACCTCACTCCAGGCACAGAACCATACAATTAGGAGGAAAACCCAAACTCCCAGCTTCTCCCTGAGGAACAGGCAGTACAGAGATCTAGTGTCTCAACCTTTAAGGCTCCCACCTGAGAAACAGTCCCCTAAAACTCCTATCTCTGATAGCCAGCATTCATGAGTCCTACAGGACTACAGCAAACAAAGAAGTTACTGATAGCATCATAAGCACTGAACACAACTATCCCCCCAGGTCTCAGGACTGAAGAAGCAGCGAAAACATGCATCTCCCAGTCTTTCCCTGGAAAGGGTTTGACTTCATACTTTACAAGCTGTTGCCTAAGGGTCTAGACACTAATTGACAACATCTAACTGATCCTACCTGGAACCTGAAAGAATCAGTGGGTGCTTACCCCACCTTCTCCATCCAGCTCACTCCAAAAATAAAACCGGGTCACCATCATCTCTCTAGAAGGACCTTCTACACATGTCTTGTGCCCCACCTTTTGCAGCTACCGCCTGGGAGATGGGCCCCCAGATCACCTGGCTCTGACTGTCAACAGTGCTTGCAGTTAACAAGTCCCCCTGGACTATAGCAAACAAATAAGCAGTTTGTAATGGGCTCAGGGCTCAGTGCAAGGGAGAATACAAAAAGCCTACCTCCCAGTTTCTCCCCAGAAAGTGCCTGATGGCATACTTTCCCAGCTGTTGCCTGAGGGTCTGGCTTCTAATCAGCCTGTATCTAAGTGCTGACTACAATCATCCCCTTTGGAACTTAGATGGGTCTTCTCATACCCTCAACTAGTAAAAGGCATGAAGAAGGACAGTGGCTTGGACAGTCACAAAGGTTTGAGAGGCATCCAGGTGTTCAGGCTGTGCTGATTAACAGGATTCATCTCCTACACAAGAACATTCTCTCAAGACTGAAAGAGGTGCTGTTTAGCTAATGCACAAAAACCGACACAAGCATTCAAGGAAAATGAAGAAACAAGGGAATATGTTCCAAACAAGAGAACAATATAAATCTCCAGAAACCAACCTTAATGAAACAGAGAAAAGTGATTTACCTGACAGAGTTCAAAATAATGCTCAGAAAGATGCTCACAGAAGTCAGGAAAGCAATGCATGAACAAAGTGAGAATTTCAACAGAGACTGATGATATTACAAAGTACCAAACAGAAAGTACAGAGATAAAGAATAAAATAACTGAACTGAAAAATTCAACAGAAAGGTTCAACAGCAGACTAGATCAAGTGGAAGAAAGAGTCAGTGAATTAGAAGACAGAGCAGTGGAATACATCCACTCAGTGAAGAAAAAAGAAAAAAGAAAAAAGACTAAAAAAGGAGTGAAGATAGCTTAAGAGACTTATAGCGCACTAAAAAATGGGCCAATATACACATTATAAGGATCCTAGAAGACGGGGGACCTTATTCAAATAAATAATGGCTGAAAACTTCCCTAACCTGGGGGAAAAAAACAGACATCCAAATCTAGGCAGCCCAAGAAGTACCAAATATGATGAATCTAAAGAAATTCACACCCAGACATTATAATTAAATTGTCAAAGACAAAAACCTTAAAAGCAGCAACAGAAAAGCAACTTGTTACATACAAGGGAACCCTCATAAGACTATCAGTGGATTCTACAATAACCTTGCAGGTCAGAAGGCAGTGGGATGAGACATTCAAAGTGCTGAAAGGAAATAAAAAAGACTGCCAAACAAGACTACTCTACCCAACAAAACAGTCCTTCAGAATTGAAAGAGAAATAAAGAGTTTCCAGACAAACAAAAGCTCAAGGAATTTATCACCACTAGTCTTACAAGACATGTTAAAGAGATTTCTTCAAGCTGAAACAAAAGGATGCTAATTAGTAACATTAAAACATATGAAAGTATAAAACTCACTGGTACAGATAAATATATGGTTAAATTCAGAATACTCGAATATTGTAATGGTGGTGGGTAAATCGCTTATAACTCTGGTATAAAGATTAAAATTAAAAATATTAACACCACCTATAACTACAATAATTTGTTAATGAATACACAATATTAAAAAGATTTAAATTGTGACATCAAAAACATCAAATGTTGGAGAACAGTGTAAAAATGTAGAATCTTCTTATACATTTGAAGTTAGGTTGTTAGGTCAGCTTAAAACAGACTATTTTAGCTATAAGATATTTTATGTAAGCCTCATGGTAACACAGTGCAAAACCTACAGTAGATACACAAAAGAGAAAGAGAAAGAAATCTCAGCATACCACTACAGAAAATCATCAAATCACAAAGGAAGAAAAACAACAGGGAAAGAAAGGAACAAAGAAATGACAAAACAACCAGAAAACAATTAACAAAACGGCAATAGTAAATCCATAACTATCAATAATTACTTTAAATGTACATGGACTGAATTTTCCAATCAAAAGACACAAAGTGACTAAATGGATAAAATGAACAAGACCCAAATATATGCTGCCTACAAGAGATTCACTTCAGCTTTAAGGACGCAGACTGAAAGTGAAGGCATGGAAAAAGATACTCCATGCAAATGGAAACCAAAAGAAAGCAGGGGTATCTACTTATATCAGATAAGGTAGACTTTAGGACAGAGACTAAAATAAGAAACAAAGGTCTTTATATTGATATAATGATAAAAGGGTCAGTCTAACAAGAGGATATAATATGTGTAAATATTTATGCACCCAACAGAGAAGCACCTAGATATATAAAGCAAATATTAACAGACCTGAAGGGAGAAATAGACAGCAATACAATAATAGTAGGGTACTTCAATAACCCACTTTCAACAATGGCTAGATCATCTAAACAGAAAATAATAAGGAAATATTGGACTTAAACTACATGTTAAACCAGATGGATTTAACAAACATTTACAGAACATTCATCCATCAGCAGCAAAATACACATTTCTTCTCAAGCACACATGGAACTTCCTCAGAATAAATCATGTGCCACAAAACAAGTCTTAATAAACTTAATAACACCAAAGTCATGTCAAGCATATTTTCTGACCACAATGGTATGAAACTAGAAATCAATTACAAGAAGAAAAGTATAAAATTCACAAATATATAGATATTAAACAACATGTTACTGAACAACCAATGTGTCAAAGAAGGAATCAAAACATAAATCAAAAAATTCTTTCAGTCAAATGAAAATGGAAATACAACGTACCTAAATTATGGGATGCAGCAAAAGCAGTTCTAAGGGCAAAGTTCATATGATGAACTCCTACATCAAGAAACAAGGAAGATCTCCAACAAACAACCTAACTTTGTACCTAAAGTAACCAGAAAAACAAGAATAAATGAAGCCCAAAGTTAGTAGAAGGAAGAAAATATCAAAGAACA